GTTTGGGACTATTTTGGTTATATATAAATTACATCGTAATCAACATCCTGAATACTCTCCCAACATTTAATTATAATCTACCTACATATTTCCTTCTTTATAATTGACACACTGGATGAGAACTATCACCAATGACTATAAAATTACTTTCATGGTGTTGTTTGATCCACTGTTACACCACAGGGAGTTAGACAAACTTAAGTATTTTAATAAATTATTAAATAATAAAATGTTATTTAGCTTTTCTTTTACCCCCTTCCTGGTATCGATTTCAAGTAATCACTGTTCTTTGTTTATACCACTCTTTCCTTCAACACAACTTTGTTACGCGCTAATGTTATATGCAAATTTTAACGCGCGTTGTAAACACACCCTATTATAGTAAAATATCCCAAGGGTTGAAACGCGCCAGGACTGTGGCATAAAATCACGCTTTCAAAGTTCGTTTACATATATGGCATCTGTAATGACATGGATGGCATTAGAAAGTGACACAATTGCATTTGCACTTGAATATTTGTCAAATTAAAACTCATTGCGATCGAGCGACATGACAGGAGCACAACGGTAAAGCCGGAAACCGGATGGTGCGAACTTTGACCTCTATCGCAAAGAATGACTCATATTGTTGTGTCACATGATCAGAAGTAAACAATTTTCCCATCAATTGTGCTGCTGCTATTTTGATTATTTTCATTAGAAACATCTCGAAGAGAAACGCGAACGGCATTTGAAGTAGAAACCATTTTACAGAAGAGTCACTGATTCATTGAAGTTGCGTCGCGTCGGGGATTACATTTTTAAATTTCGCGCGCAGCATTTCTTGTTTATTAATGCATCTCATGAATAAATTAAATGCCCACCGGCTTTACGTTTGTGCTCATGCCACAGTCCTGGCACGTTTCAACCCTTGGGATATTTTACTACAATAGGATGTGTCTACGTCGCGCGTTAAAATTTGCATATAACATTAGGTAACAAAGTTGTGATAAGGGAAAGAGTGGTATAAACAGGGGGGTAAAAGACCAGGAGGGGTGGTAAAAGAAAAGCCATATATATACGTACATAAGTTTGTCCAACTCCCTGTGGTTACATCCACATTTATCAGCAACTTGGCTCATTATTATGTCGCTGTCTGATCTTCTGTATCTGCCTGATGAGTTTCATTTGAAAGATTGGCTGAATTCTTTTATTCTAAATAAATTTTATATTGCATTATTGATTATATTGCATTATATCTTAGCCTTTTACCACATGTTAAATGGAACAATGAAAATCAATTGTTAATTTTAAATTTCTTCAAACGAAGGTCAATTTGGATGTGTTGTTCTTGGTAAATATACAAACGAAATGAATGAAGTCCAGCAAGTCGCAGTGAAGTATTTAAATCGTAAGTCCTTTTGCAATATTCTGCCATCATAAGTACTTGTGTTATTGCTTAAAATAAATGTTGCCTTTTTGCACTTTATCCACCAAAATAAACTACAATACACCCCCCTCCCCTTAAAAACTCCACAATGAGTTCATAAATTGTATTTGTTCTCAGGTAATAATGATATTGAAGACGTTGAGAGGTTCTTGAAAGAAGGTATATTGATGAAGGATTTCAACCATAATAATGTGTTAAGTTTACTGGGTGTGTGTATCGATGACAGTAATCGGGTCTGTATTGTCCTACCTTACATGGCTTTGGGGGATCTGAAGTCCTACATATCAAATCCTGAACAAGTGAGTATTTTAGTGTAATATGCATCTTAAATTTCAAGGTATAATGTTCAAGTTTACTGTGGTGGATGTTAGTTGTGACGCCACAGTTGAAAAAGATAAATGTTCAAAGAATCAGATTGATCCTTTTAACTAGCACGGTTTAACCAGGAATCAACTCACAACCATTTTCTATAACAAGTTCAATGTATTTCATTACGTGTGCATTAGTATATTGTAAATTAATTTGACATTAGTTTATATCTTAATCACCACGCCTCAATGTACGAATATTAAATGTAGTTATGCATAACGAAGTATTTCTTGTGAAATATATGGAAAACGTCACTTTCAGAATCTTGGGCCAAAACTATGAACAATTTGACATTTGATGTGCAAAAAGTGTGTTTCGTTATCTGTATTTGAGGAGAAACTAAAGACTCGTCTTTTTCAGAAGCCTACAAGAACTATCATCAGTTACTTTTATCATTGTGAAGCGCCTCTGATAAGATTTTTCTGAAATTATGACAATTTTCATGTTTGAGCGTTATTGTTAAAGGCCGATCAAAACAAAATGATATAAGGTTTTGAACTGGATGTTTGGTTGGAGATGTGGTTAGTTAGTACACCTTATAAGACGTGGTTATTTAGGTATTTTAATATATGGTGATATTCATTGACAGGAACTCACTGTTAGAAAAGTTTTGAAATACGGGTCACATGTGGCACAAGGAATGGCTTACTTGGCGTCTCAGAAGTACGTCCATCGTGATTTAGCTGCAAGAAATTGTATGTGAGTATTTTTTATCGGTCTGTTTATTTTTTGTGTTTATTTCCTTTCACATGCCTTGTTGAATTATGTTATACAATTATACAATTGGTAACAACAATTCAAACAAACAAAAATGTACCACATAGTACAATATCCATTTTCTCAACGTGTATTATAAATCCTACTATTGACTATCACCAGGATTCGTCTTGTTTGTAAAAATACACAACACAAAATAGTCAATGTGCTCGGTCAATACTATGATATAAGTGTTCTGAGATATAAGGTCAATATTTATATAAATAAATATGAATTTGCAATTTCTTTCCATAATTTAACTCATGGGTATGGAGTTTCCATTTTAGGCTTGACGAATCGGAGACTGTGAAAGTTTCAGATTTCGGTCTTTCGCGTGATATTTATGCACGTGAATATTACGTTCTTGGAGACACTAAACATAGACGATTGCCAATACGGTGGATGGCAGTAGAGAGCATTAAATACAATCGCTACACTACGAAGTCTGATGTGGTAAGCATTTTCGTCATTAAAAAGACATGTACTAAAATAGATTCAAATGATTGTTACTTCACCGCGCTTTTTCAAGCCACAAAACATGTTTGGTTTCTATTAAAATAAAAGTTTTGTTTAATTTGGTTAATTATACTACTCTCATTTGTAGTGGTCATTTGGCGTGTTTCTATGGGAACTGTTGACTAGAGGTGAACTACCATACTCAAATATAAATAATATGTATATCCCGAGATACCTTGAAAATGGACACAGATTGCCACAACCACCCTCCGCAAATAATGAAATGTAAGTTGTCTTTCTCCGCACACGATATACATTGACGGATTAAATATCGCGAGTTGAAAAATCTACTACATTTTTCGACACAAATAATGTGGGGGAAAAGCATATTATAGCTTGATTCTAAGTTGCATTGTTTGTGTGAATCCAAATATATCAATTTCTCGAGTATTTAGATTCACAAAATTGATACATATTTTCTCACCACAGATACCAGCTAATGATGAAATGTTGGCATGGAGACGCATCAAATCGACCTACATTCGACATATTGAGTAAAGAGTTGCAGGCTGTTTTGAAAAAATGTGACAATATGAGTGATGGGGATGAAAACGACTATTTATATCCAATTCAGACTATATAATATGAATAAATTTTAAAGGTCAATTATTGAAACAGAATCAAACGTACTAGAACGTATTAACATTTATTTAATAATTTGAATGATATATTATTTCTTCATGGATATAAAGTTTACTTATCATTGCTTGAATAAGAAATAACATCAAAGCCAGCCATAGGTGTTACAATTCCAGAATCACCAAACAAATTATTGACAATCATTCAAACAAGTGACAAATAATTCACACATGGAATGTTATGTCAAAAAGTAAGAATGTTTTCTTGATTTTGATCTGTGAATATATACATTAATGCCATACCCAATGTCTATCATTAGTGTTTTGTAGTTTGTTTCATCAAATGTGTCACATGTCACTTTTTTGTAACTCGTGCACCATAGTTAAATGTGTTTCTTTTTTCTGTTTCA